TTCAAACTGCGAATAGGTGCAGAGAGCCAGAATTTGGGTCGAAAATAAGGCTCATGGATCGAATTTAGGATGTTTGGGATATTTTGAAAACTGCAGGGAGGGTATGGGCAAAATGTGATCCACCGCCTCTCGCAGTAATTGACATATTTTCGGGATAAATAGTTGTAATTTCATACTGCGAATACGTGCAGAGAGCCAGAATTTTGCTCCAAAATATGAATAAAGCGTCGAATTTGGGTTGTTTTGGATATTTTGAAAACTGCAGGGGGGGGGGGAGGTTTGGCAAAATGTGAATCATCGCTGCTCTCAGTAATTGGCATATTTTCGGTATAAAATGAAGAAATTTCAAACTGCGAATACGTGCAGAGAGTCCGAATTTGGCCCCAAAACATGGCTCAAGCGTCGAAATTAGGATGTATGTAATATTTTGCAAACTGCACGGGGGTTTGGGCAAAATGTGAATCATCGCTGCTCTCAGTAATTGGCATATTTTCGGTATAAAATGAAGAAATTTCAAACTGCGAATACGTGCAGAGAGCCCGAATTTGGCCCCAAAACATGGCTCAAGCGTCGAAATTAGGATGTATGTAATATTTTGCAAACTGCACGGGGGTTTGGGCAAAATGTGACCCATCGCTGCTTTCAGTAATTGGCATATTTTCGGTATAAAATGAAATAATTCCAAACTGCGAATACGTGCAGAAAGCCAGAATTTGAGTCCAAAATATGGCTCAACCGTGAAATTTAGGATGTTTGGGATATTTTGAAAACTGCAGGAAGTGTTTTGGCAAAATGTGATCCATCGCCGCTTTCAGTATTTGTCATATTTACGGTATAAAAAGTCGTAATTTCAAACTGCGAATACGAGCAGAAATCCAGAATTTGGTTCCAAAATATGGCTCAAGGGTAGAATTTGGGATGTTTGGGATATTTTGCAAACTACAGGGGGGTTTGGGCAAAGTGTGACCTATCGCTGCTTTCAGAAATTGGCATTTTTTTCACTATAAAAAGTCGTAATTTCAAACAGCGAATACTTGCAGAGAGCCAGAGTTTGGCTCCAAAATATGGCTCAAGCGTCGAATTTGGGACGTTTTGGATATTTTGAAAACTGCAAGGAGGGTTTGTTCGAAATGTGATCCATCGCCGCTGACAGTAATTGGCATATTTTCGGAATAAAATGTCGTAATATCAATCCACGAATACGTGCAGAGTGCCAGATATAGGCTCTAAAATATAGCTCAAATGTCGAATTTGGGATGTTTGGGATATTTTGAAAACTGCAGGGGGGTGTGGGCAAAATGTGAACTATCGTCGCTCGCAGCAAATGGCATATTTTCTGTATAAAATAAAAAAAAATCAAACTGCGAATACGTGCAGAGAGCCCGAATTTGGTTCCAAAATATGGCTCAAGCGTCTAATTTGGGATGTTTGGGATATTTTGAAAACTGCAGGGAGGGCTTAGGCAAAATGTGATCCTTAGCAGTTTTCACTAATTGGCATATTTTCGGTATAAAAAAAGTCGTAATTTCAAAATGCGAATACGTGCAGAAAGCCAGAATTTGGCTCCAAAATATAGCTCAATGATCGAATTTGGATATTTTTTGGAAATTTTGAGAACTGCAGGGGGGTTTGGGCAAAATGTGACCCATCGCTGCTCTCAGTAATTGGCATATTTTCGGTATAAAAAGTCGTAATTGCAAACTGCGAATACGTGCAGAGAGCCAGAATTTGGCTCCAAATAATTCTTAAGAGTCGAATTTGTGATGTTTGGGATATTTTGAAAACTGCAGGGTGGTTTGGGCAGAATGTGATCCATCGCCGCTCTCAGTAATTGGCATATTTTCGGTATAAAATGAAAAAATCTCAAACTGCGAATACGTGCAGAGAGCTAGAATTTGGGTCCAAAATATGGATCAAGCGTCGAATTTGGGATGTTTGTGATAATTTGAAAACTGCAGGGAGGGTTTGGGCAGAATGTGATCCATCGCCGCTCTCAGTATAAGGCATATTTTCCGTAAAAAAATCATAATTTCAATCTGCGAATACGTGCAGATAGCTAAAAATTGGCTCCAAAATAATGCTCAAGGGTCGAATTTGGGATGTTTAGGATATTTTGACAACTGCAGAGGGGTTTGACCAAAATGTGACTCATGCCGCTCTCAGTAATTGACATCTTTTCTGAATAAAATGACGTAATTTCAAACAGCGAATACGTGCAGAGAGCCCGAATTTGGCTCCAAAATATGGCTCATGCGTCGAATTTGGGATCTTTGTGATATATTGAAAACTGCAGGGAGGGGGGCAAAATGTGACCCATCGCTGCTTTCAGTAATTGGCATATTTTTGGTATAAAATGTCGTAATTTCAACCTGCGAATATCTGCAGAGAGTCAGAACTTGGCTCCAAAATATGGCTGAAGGGTCGAATTTAGGATGTTTGGTATATTTTGAAACCTGCAAGGAGGGTTTGGGCAAAATGTGATGCATCGCTGCTTTCATAAATTGGCATATTTTCAGTATAAAAAGTCGTAATTTCAAACAGCGAATAATTGCAAAGAGCCAGAGTTTGGCTCCAAAATATGGCTCAAGCGTCGAATTTGGGACGTTTTGGATATTTTGAAAACTGCATGGAGGGTTTGTGCAAAATGTGATCCATCGCCGCTGTCAGTAATTGGCATATTTTCGGAATAAAATGCCGTAATATCAATCCACGAATACGTGCAGAGAGCCAGATATAGGCTCTAAAATATAGCTCAAGGGTCGAATTTGGGATGTTTGGGATATTTTGAAAACTGCAGGGGGTTGTGGGAAAAATGTGAACCATCGTTGCTCGCAGCAAATGGCATATTTTCGGTATAAAATGAAAAAAATTCAAACTGCGAATACGTGCAGAGAGCCCGAATTTGGTTCCAAAATATGGCTCAAGCGTCTAATTTGGGATGTTTGGGATATTTTGAAAACTGCAGGGAGGGTTTGGGCAAAAAGCAGTCTCCGTGGTGTAGTGGTAAGACACTCGCCTGGCGTTCCGCGAGCGCTATGTCATGGGTTCGTATCCTGGCCGGGGAGGATTTACTGGGCGCAAATCCTTAACTGTAGCCTCTGTTTAACGCAACAGTAAAATGTGTACTTGGTTGTAACAACGATTCTTCGCGGCGGGGATCGTATTCCAGGGACCTGCCCGAAACGCTACGCGTACTAGTGGTTGTACAAGAATGTAACAACTCTTGTATATATCTCAAAAAAAAAAAATGTGATCCATAGCAGTTTTCAGTAATTGGCATATTTTCGGTATAAAAAAAAGTCGTAATTTCAAAATGCGAATACGTGCAGAAAGCCAGAATTTGGCTCCAAAATTTGGAGTGGCATACACCACTGGGGTGTGGCATACACACTGGGGGGTGGCATACACCACTGGAGAATGGCATACACCGCTGGGGTGTGGCATACGCCACTGGAGAGTGGCATACACCACTGGGGGGTGGCATACACCACTGGAGAGTGGCATGCACATCTGGAGAGTGGCATACACCACTGGGGTGTGGCATACACCACTGGAGAGTGGCATACACCTCTGGACTGTGGCATACACCATTGGGGTGTGACATACACACTGGGAGGTGGCATACACCACAGAAAAGTGGCATACACCACTGGGGTGTGGCATACACATTGGGGGTGGCATACACCACTGGGGTGTGGCATACACCACTGGAGAGTGGCATACACCACTGGGGTGTGGCATACACCACTGGAGAGTGGCATATACCACGGGTGTGGCATACACCACTGGGGTGTGGCATACACCACTGGAGAGTCGCATACACCACTGGAGAGTCGCATACATCACTGGGGTTTGGCATACACACGGGTGTGGCATACACCACTGGAGTGTGGCATACATCACTGGAGAGTGGCATACACAATGGGATGTGGCATACATCACTGGGGTTTGGCATACTCACGGGTGTGGCATACTCCACTGGAGAGTGGCATACGCCGCTGGGATGTGGCACACATCATTGAAGTGGAGCATACACCGCTGGAGTGTGGCATACACCGCTCTTGTGTGTGGGATGCACCACTGGATGTGGCATACACCAGTGGAGTGTGGCATACACCACTGGAGAGTGTGGCATACAATGCTGGAGTGTGGCATACACCGCTGGAGTGTGTGGCATACACCGTTGGAGTGTGTGTCATACACCGCTGTAATGTGTGGCATACACCGCTGTAGTGTGTGGCATACACCGTTGGAGTGTGTGGCATACACCGCTGTAGTGAGTGGCATACACCACTGGCGTGTGTGGCATACACCACTGGAGTGTGTGGAATACACCGCTGTAGTGTGTGGCATACACCGCTGTAGTGTGGCATGCACATCTGTAGACGTAGCCACACCGTTGGAGTGGCATACTCAACTGGAATATGGCATACACTGCTTCACAATCCAGTAATGTTTTTTGCATATTTCTCTTGATTATGTATATAATCTTGTATCACTGTCAATGTAAATACTATAATAAGAGAGTGACCAGTATGATATTAATCGGATATCACACCCTTTAGGCACGTCTGTCATTCTTTCTGCACTTAAATATATACATACTGTCACATTTGTAAACAACTCGGTCACCATTACATACTTGAAATTCTCCAGGACAATGACAGCAGCATGCTTGTGTCTGCAGCCTAGCACACGCACGTATCAATATCGATAAATATGCTGTTGGTGTCTACTTCATATGAATTCCATCTCATATCTGCCTTCAAGTGCATGATAGAGCAGATGAATTAGCCAGAACTTATGCTCTCAGTGAACGAGGTGATTATGCCGTTCGAGTGCCTCTAATAAGCTTGAAAACTGCATGGGTGCTAGATGTTATTCTAACAGGCTTTTTATCATTACTTGAAGACTATTGCGTTAAAAGCTTCACAATAAGTATATAAAAGTTATACGAGTGCCATTGATACATTCGTTATTACTAATGTCACGCTACCTTGTTAAATAAACCATACATAGCATCTATGGGAATATGATGGAGATGTGGGAGAGTAAGATGGTGATGTGGGAGAATATGATGGTGATGTGGGAGAATATGATGGTGAAGTTGGGGAATAGGATGGTGATGTTGGAGAGTATGATGGAGAGGTGGGACTATAAGATGGTGATGTGGGAGAATATGATGGACTTGTTGGAGAGTACTGCGGTGAGGTTGGGGAGTATTGTGGGCTTGTTGGACTGTAGGTGGGAGAAGTTGGAGAATATCCTGGTGAAGCTGGAGTCATGCTTGGAGATGTAGGCTGATATGCTGGTGATGAGGGAGAGTATGAGGGTGAGAGCGCATTGGCTGGACTTGGAATGTATGGACTCGTGCAGCCTGGAGACACTGGACTGCGAGGTTGTGGAGACCAAGCTGGAGAATATCCTGGTGAGAGGCCTGTTGTCTCACTAGCTGCAGCTGGAGAGAAAGATGGCCCACCTGGTGTCATACCACTACCTACACCAGGGGTCCATGCACCATAGGGTGACATTGATGGTGTTGCTCCTGAAGCCCAAGGGGTTTGGGCAGGCGTCATCCCTGAAGATGGTGATGATGCTCCAAAGATTCCTCCACCCATCATCATGCCTTGTCCTGGCATGGGGATTTCCATACCCAACTTACACTTAGCATCATCTAATACTAAGTCAAATGAACCAGAACCAATCTTGGGAAGCTGTCCTAACATAATGTTTTCAGAAACACCTCGGATAGGGTCTACTTCAGCACAAGATGCAGCTTCCATCAGCACATCCACAGACTCTTCAAATGAACATTTCATTAGTGCACCAGTATCTTGTCTATTAATTCCATGACGTGTGATAGCCATCAAGTGACCCTTGCTCGTCATAACATCACAAAGCAAGGCAAGATGACGGTAGTTCACATAAAGACCATAGAACATGAGCACAGCATTCATTTCCTTTTCAATACATTTTCGCACAGCTTCAATTCCAAGGACTTCGAATACTTCCAAGATGTCATTAGAGGAGGTTCGAACAGGATCTACATCTCTTTCAGAGAGTACTTTCATGAGAGCAGTTCCATCAGTCTCTAGCAGCCACTCAGCTATAGCCTTAAACTCGCCCTGGTCATTTACAATGATGCGCTTCTTTTCATCAGTCTGGGGTAAATGCATGTACACTTTGGTGATGGCTTCAATACCCTGCAGAGTCAGGTCATTCAGCATATTTGCCTCTATGCACCGCAGGAAAGTATCATCTTCCATCTTGTCCACCTGCAAGAGAAAGCTGGTAAGCAAGCATGACATCCCTTATACTAGTCACTAGCCCACAAACTATATAACAAGCCAACAAGAATTCTTTTAAAAAATCTAATCAAGCACAATCTTTAAATCTAATCAAGCACAACCCAGTACTTTTTCTCATCCTCATATCGGACAGACAAGAACACAAGCTATAGCACTGTATCATCCTTTGCAGATGACACTAGGATCTTCATGAGATTAGGCAACATAGAGGACACGGCAAACCTCCAATCAAATGTAGATCAGGTTTTTTCTATGAAAATAATATGGTGTTTAACGAAGATAAGTTCCAGCTCATGCGCTATAAAAACGGAAACCACGTACAAAACTCAGGCAAATCATAACATAGAACGAAAAGGCAATGTAAAGGATCTGGGTGTACTCATGTCGGAAGACCTTACCTTTAAAGAACACAAAAAAGTAGCCGTCACAACTGCAAGAAAAATGACCGGTTGGATAACAAGAACTTTTCACACTAGAGATGCTATACCGATGATGATACTTTTCAAAACGCTTGTGCTCTCTAGAGTGGAGTACTGCTGCACAATGACAGCCCCTCTCAAAGCTGGAGAAATTGCTGACCTGGAGAGCGTGCAGAGATCCTTTACTGCTAGAATCCACTCAATAAAACATCTAAACTATTGGGACCGACTAAAGAGCCTAAATCTGTACTCCCTTGAGCGCAGGCGGGAGAGATACATAATAATTTACACGTGGAAAATATTAGAGAGGCATGGCAGGACATGGCAGGATGGCAGAATACCCCGGTTGAAAAGCAGAGGTGCAACAGGTACTCAAGAGAGAACTATCAACATCAGAGGCCCGAGACTGTTCAACACGCTTCTGCTACACACAAGGGGGGGCGACCGGGGAGCCGGTCGGCCGAGCGGACAGCACACTGGACTTGTGATCCTGTGGTCCTGGGTTCGATCCCAGGCGCCGGCGAGAACAATGGGCAGAGTTTCTTTCACTCTATGCTCCTGTTACCTAGCAGTAAAATAGGTACCTGGGAGTTAGTCAGTTGTCACGGGCTGCTTCCTGGGGATGGAGGCCTGGTCGAGGACCGGGCCGCGGGACACTAAAGCCCCGAAATCATCTCAAGATAACCTCAAGAAGGAGCATAACTGGCAAACCCCTCACAGTGTTCAAGAGAGAACTGGATAAGCACCACCAAATGATACCTGATCAACCAGGCTGTGACTCATACGTCAGGCTGCGAGCAGCCGCATCCAACAGCCTTGTTGATCAGCCCAGCAACCAGGAGGCCTGGTCGACAACCGGGCCATGGGGACGCTAAGCCCCGGAAGCACCTCAAGGTAAGTAACCCCTCAATCATAAATTAAGCAGTGTGATATCTGGAAAATATCTACGCTGCACAGCCTACTGCAAAAGCAGTAAAAGTAAGTAATTATCAAAAGAAGGCACCAAGCCAGGGAAGCTATGTAGCACTGTCAAAAGTGCAAGATATTCAAAAGGCGCAAAATATCACTAAGGATGCCAATAACAGAACAAAAGCGCATAAGGCGAACAACATCAAAGGCATCCGATTCACCAAGGATACTATCGAGGGACAGTCGGGAAGCAAGACGCACCCACATCCTGGAAGTCAGGACATTCAACAAGGATATGCACTGCCATAAGAGGGACAATGCAAATCGGACAATAAGGAGCAGGGTGGCGCTCCAAGTGCCCGTGAGTTTAATGGGTACGGCCAATACCTAACCTTGTCAGAGTTGTTTCCTACCGCCGGTTCTGGTGGTAGGAGGAAGGCCACGGGGACACACCACCCTGCTTGTTACCAGTGACAAGACCAGCGATCCTGCCAACTAGCATGAATAAAAGGGTAGAAGTCGGTTGTTAAATGAGCGGTAGCATCCGCACGCTCATTTAAGGAAATACCAATATGGCTGGGAACCCAGCAAATCTCAACTATCTTAAATCTGCTGGAGATAATTGGCAACACGAACCGAGAGTGAACCTTGCAAGTGAGACAACCGTACAGAAAGGGGAAGGTGATGAAAGGGAAGAGGGCCCACAGGAGACGGTAATGGTCAAAGTACGACATAAGAGAGAGTGAGGGTATTGAGACCGTGCAAAGTAGTGAAGACAGTAGCGATTACAGCGATCTTGTAGACAGGATGCCGGTCTCAACAATCAGGCTCTGGATAGGGGTCAAACGAAAGGCACCAGAGCTAAGATGGAGCAAATTATGGTGAAGAGCATCAAGACGAAGGGTGGAGGTGTATTGTCTTCTCCTACCACCCCCATTCTTTTGTCTGTACACATATATTTACTTTATTTGTACTTTGTTACAAAAAAGGAGTTACATAAGGGCAGACAAGTGAACAGGACAGCCATAATCGAGTTTAGACAGCACGAGAGAGGAATGTAAAGAGGAGCGTGCACCTATCAGCTCCCCCAGAAAGTATGGGACAAGAGTGCTTGAGTGCTTACCAAAAGTAGAGCATCTGACAAAGAAAATATAACATGCACTTTTATTATGAAAATGGATGAATTTGAGACCATCAGATCAATAATAAAAATAGAACTGACTGGACTAGAAGCAACATACTAAATAAAAGGATTTAAACATTTAATGTGCTAGATATCTCTAATGTCCAGAATATTCATGTAAATTTTGCCTAATGAATTTTATAAATATTGAAAACATTAAAGGACAGAGTAAAGTGAAATAACCTGTTCCTCTGCATCATCAGCCAATTTGTCGTCACCAACAATAATACGGATCCGGAGTACAAGCTTCTCTGCATTATCGTCATTAAAGATGCAATTAAGATCATCACCAAAGCCAGAGTTGATCTTTTGAGAAATTTGTTCCATAGTCAGCTTCTTATCTGCATGAAATTAATTTCTTTATTACATAGTGTTACAACTCTACAAATAATTAATGTTAATATACTTTGTCAATACAGAAGACTTAAAACATTATTTGAACATTTATCAATCAATTCTGCAGTGCATAAGATCCAAGCAATATACAGCATCCAGCATTTTAATTTCTACATTAATCAACATTACTAACCTGTCATTTTTTTACGATCAAGCTCAATGCGAAGAAGCCATGGGGAGATTCTAGAGACATCGAAGTCAGGCATTTCATAATAAACATTGACAAACTCCTGATCCTCAGTAATACAAGTGTTCTGGGGATCTGGGTCATAGTAGATGGCAGTGTTGGATGTTACCTGCAAAATGTCAAAAAGTTTGCTTACAGTTCCCTTAATAAGGACTGGTTCCAACTGCACTTAAAACTCTCTTCTTTAACTTTTTTTTGTTATAGCAGGTTGGTAATTTCCATATTTTAACTCCACACAATCCAGCTTGCTACTTTATGAATAACAATATGGCTAATGCACATAATGGGTTACATTTTTGTACAGTACGATGCTACCTCCCACAATTTCTACAACCCACAAATGTTCTCTCTATGGCTGGAAATTTTGCTTAAAAATTGCAGTTAGGTATTTAATTCAGGAAAGAAGAAAATTTTGAAAAAAATAAAATAAAATTTGGCGATTATTTTTCCCCATATATCCTTGATGGACGAGTTAATTTGATTTCTAAGACTTTACAGGAATATATTCATCACTATCCAATATTGAAAAGAAATATTTATAATACAAGAGATAAAGAAACAGACAAATAAAACCCCAAAAGCACCGTCAGTTTCACCATCAGTTCTTACCTTGCGTAAAGTTGTGTGTTCCAGACGACACAACACATTCTTGGCTTTCTCAGCATCCCTAGCTGAATCTCCAACCAAAAACACTGTAAGGGAGGGAGCCTTGGGTTTCTTACTGATGTTGATAATTTCCTTCAGCCTTGGCACACCCAATGTTACATTCTTGGATGATACACCAGCAAAGTGGAAAGTGTTCAGCGTCATCTGAGTAGCAGGTTCTCCAAGTGACTGGGCTGCTAAAGCCCCAACCATTTCTCCAGGAGCAGCCTAAGCAATAATAAATCATTAAAGAACTGGAGCTCACTCTTCAAACTAAAACACTGTATAATTGTGTGTACCAAATTTAGTAAAAAAGATCAAAAAGTAGTAAAGCCACAAATGGCAAAACTATCCTTTGCTAACCCTAATCGGATGTCAACCAAATTGTTACATTGGTGACAATTCTTAAATAAATATGTAAAATAATATTGTGTATACAGTTTTAATAGGTGCTAATACTCACAATTGCCTGATGGAATCTGGTCTCAATTTCACCAACAAGCCAGTTGAAAGATTCACTGGTTAATTTGTATTCTTCAGCTACTTTCTTAGTACACAAAGTTGACCTAACTAAGCACTGGAAACAGAACGTGGCATTTTCATTAGCCTGTAAACTGATGCGATCCTCTCCTGTTACAATGGTGCATTTATTCAACATGTCTCGCACACCCTCTACCACTCTAACAGGTGATAAATCTGTTGGTGTTCTTTTATTAATGTGGAAAATCTTCTGCACATTCCAGATCATGCGTTCCAAGTTACATGGTAGCACCACCTGTGGAGATATAATTATTTTATATGCAATAGTATGGTCATTTTGTAATTTTTTGCAGTAAAAATTGCAAATTCTGACCAAACACATCTTAGAATGTAATATATTTAATGTACTTGTGCTTTAAGACACACACACTAAGAACACTGACCATAAATAAAACTACTAAACTACCAACCATATTTTTGGTTCATATATAGGAAGTACACTTAGTAAAATAAACTTAGCAAAAATGGGAAATGCAAACTCACTTTGGTATCACCTTTAGGGAATACATCTCGCAGTCCCAACCGATCTTCTTGAAGTTTCTGCCATTCTCCTTCAAGGATACTGATAGCCTCGGGCGATCCAATCAATTCTCGAACAACGTCTTCGTTAAACAGCCTACGAAGGTATCTCTCATTGGTAACATCAAATCTATACTTGTCTTCAAATAGACGGTTTGATAGTTTAACAGTTGGCATTTTCTGGAACTCTACATACTCTCCAGCCAATCCATCTTCACCATACCTAAGCTGAATCACTTGACTAACACTGTTTCTCACTGTACCATCATAGTTTACCATTACACTCTCCATAGCTTTTATCAAACGTCGCTGGATATATCCTGTTTCTGCAGTTTTCACAGCTGTATCAATGAGACCCTCACGACCACCCATAGCATGGAAATAAAATTCAGAGGGAGTTAGGCCGGCAAGGTAGGAATTTTCCACAAATCCTCTAGATTCCGGACCATAGTCATCCTTGATGAAGTGAGGAAGTGTTCTCTTACGGAAGCCAAATGGAATTCTCTTCCCTTCAACATTCTGTTGCCCTACACAAGCAATAACTTGTGAAATGTTAATATTGGAACCTTTAGAACCAGATACCACCATAGCCTTTAAATTATTATATTCTGTCAATGACTTCTTGGCAGATAAACCAGTTTTATCTCGAGCATCATTCAGGATACGATTCACTTGATTTTCGAAGGTCTGCCTGAGTGTGTTACCAGGAGTAGGTTCAAGTTCATCATTGTGAGCTTTGTGGATCACTTCTATCACATCCTCCTTAGCTTTGCGAATGGTGTCTTGGATGACTCGGTAGGTAGCAGGATCAGAGATAGTATCTCCAATTCCAATACTCATACCTTCTAGAAGTAGCCAATTATTAACAACAGTCTGGATGTTGCCATAAAATCTGCCAGCAATTTCGTGTCCCAATTCCATCCAGGCAACGTGCAACATGGATCCAGACGAAGCACCAAGTGTTCTCTTGCACAAAATGCCCATGATCAACTCTCCATGCTCCACCAAGACCTGGAATTTGTTATTAAATATTACAAAAATACAAGTTACTTATATCTAGGTGGTGTCAGTATGATTGAATTATACAATATACTGACACTGAATGACATACATCTCTCCAGGTACTGAAGTAGATAATAATGATACACAAAATAATCAAAATCTAAAAATTACTATACCCCTATGCACAAAGTCAATGGTTCTTTTTGAGATGCCACTCCAGCCAATCAAAACAGTTTTCACCAGGAGAGGTAGGAATATTAATGCACACAATCTTAACAGGAACTTAAAAACACACATATCTCCTGCACTAAACACAATTAGTACAACAAATGAACTTCACAGGTGATATACAGGCTTCATATCAGTAGTGAAGATCTAAATGGATAGGTCTAAAATGATTCAACATTGGTTGGCATTTACATTATTCCAACCCATCCTCCTGTTTAGATAGTACCTATTGAGACGATCGTCAATAGTCCGAATTCGTACGTACCTTTTAGATAGTATTATACTGACTAGTAAGGAATTATTTTAAAATATATAAAGCTAAAACAAACTTAAATATCCCTCGGCCTAGAATAGCACACATATGTACTATATTTGGCCTCGGGAGGTTAGGTTAGTTTAGGTTGTCAAAGCAACAAGTAAAAAATTGTCCAGTCTGTCCAACTCAATAGTTCAGATTTCTACTTTCTAATTTCATTGTATGTCGGTATATATACTATGGTCCTCATCGTCAAATATAAACAAGTACTCATCATACTAAGTACGTACTACCAAAACAGGAGGATGGGCAGCATTACGTAAAGGAAATTACACGAGCAGCAGAGTCAGTAGGAAACCAAATTTAGAGGATTTCTAATATGAGGAAAAAATGCTCTAAAAGTGATACTTTACACATGCCACTCAAGCTAATAGATGGTCTTACACCAAATAAGGAATTAAGGTGCCAATATTAAGTACACATGTAAACATTTATGAATGAAGTTTAAATATTTCTGATCCGAGTCCAGGTGCAAGGCTATTAGACAAAGCAAACGTTACTGAACTTTCTGATCAAAGTAATTATTTTCATACCTTTGTATCACCAGGGGAGATCCATTTGTAAGGGCCATCATCTTCATCATCAGGGTGGGTAGAATGGGTCTTGACTAGGTTAAGATTACCAGGAATGATGAGTGAGAACAACTGTTTCCCTGTCCATAATGGCTTGGGCTTGAGGATGGCTGGCTGGGGCATGCGTCCATCCCAGATTGGCAAAAACATCAGCAAGTTCATCATCTCGCACTAAAGAAAAAACAATTATGGTATACCATTAAAGATGTAGAGATATGTATGTAAAAAGTAAAATAGCCCACCTATGAATATTAAATAATATCAGACATGCAGGGAATCCTCATTGAATGAGCTTTCTATATTGTAATATGGTAGACCAAGTGACAAAATGAAGGGACAAGTTGAAAACAGCCAAAAATCTTAGGTGTTTCCACAAACTTGCTCAAACTGATTTTTTTATATTCTACATGTCAAACGCACCAACTTTTCCTAATGGATCAACATCGTAACAGGAACACAAAAAAAAATTAAACAAAAAATAATTTTAAATTAATAGTAAATTGCAAATTTAATATTTTTAAAGATAATTTTAAAATTTTAAAAGTTTACAAAATTTATCTTGTATTTATTATGGTCTAAGAACGACATATGATCATTTTTTTTTTTAAGTTTGGGCCACTTGGGGACCTTGAAGTGTGTGGCTGGTCGACTGCCAGGGCAGCGAAAAGTATTAAATCACTAACAATGTACACACTACCTTTTCCAAGAATACGTCTCGCTTGGTCATTTTCCGGACAGCAGTCAGGGTGTCCTGTACAATACCCATCACAGGCTTGTTGGCCTGTGGGGTAATGATCATTCGGGGGGTCACGTGCAAGTTCTCAATTTCAGCTCTAGTCTCCATACTCTGGGGCACATGTAAGTTCATTTCATCTCCATCAAAATCAGCATTGTATGGTGATGTTACTGACAAGTTCATTCGGAAGGTTGACCAAGGCAATACCTGTAACACACGTAAAATAAAATAACATGGAATTTCTTAAAATACAAATCTAAATTCTGCAACAATAAAAAGAGTTTAATTTATGTTGTCAATATTCCTAGTGTAACTGCAGGTCTCTTGCTACTTTTGAGTCTGGTACTAACTCATTTTTCACCTATAAATCTTGACCATTGTAAGACTACAAATAGTAAGCTGCATGTGAATAATGCAACATTTAAGCTGATGACTAATTTGTTCTACATTTGTAAAAGGCTAACCATTATTGAAGTACTGTAAAAGCCTCAATCTCATTTCAGATACTTTAAAAGTTATTTTTCATTATATAGCACAAGTCAGGGCAAATTCAGCCTCCTTCCCATACACATGCCCACAAAATACTTTTATCAAGACATTCTTGACAAGGCACATACATCCATCTTGTTTTCATATTAAATGTAGCAATTAAGTTAAACATTTCCAATACAGATTTATCTTTACAATATTCATTTATATTAGAAAATGTTAAATCTGATCTACAAATATAATAATTAATCTTAAATAATATGAATTAATGAAATACTCTAGTTCTTAAGAGTAGTTGAAGAGCAGAGGTTAGAGAGAACTCTCATCAGAGGCATGAGACTGTTCAACACGCTCCCACTACACATAAGGGACATAACTGGCCGACCACTCAGTGTTCAAGAGAGAACTGGATAAGCACCTCCAAAGGATACCTGATCAAACACAGCGTCAAACAGCCTGGTTGACCAGTCCAGCAACAAGGAGGCCTGGTCAACAAGACCGGTTTACTGGGACGCTAAACCCCGGAAATACCCCAACGGTAACTTACCTTAACTCTGTGTCCCATCATAGACATTTTATGCAAAGTGGGCTGACGATTGAAAATGACTAAGTCACCATCTGTGATATGTCTCTCAACTTTGTAGCCACACTGAAGGTGGAGATCAGATGGCTTTGGATGATAGCGTAAATCAATACGAGCCCCGTTGTCACGTACAATGTACTTTGCTCCAGGATACTGGTTGTTACCACGCTTCACAAGCTCCATCATTCTGATGAAAATTTTAATACATTTATTGTAAAGGGAAGCAAAATAGGAAAAAATGTTAAAAATGCCTGCCTTAGGGTTTCCCTAAGGCATACACAAAAAAGATTGTTTTAATTATGTTACGAATATGCCATGCTTATTAAGAAAAGCAAGTACTGTATATTGATAAAGTAAAGTTCAAGTAAAAAAAAAAAAAAAAAAAAAAATATAGAAATAAAAAAATATATTATATAAAATATAATATAAAGAACTGCTATTTCACAAAAAAAAAAAAAAACTTACTTTGTCATGTTGAATGGTGTTACAATTTCTGGATATGTAAGATTCTGGGCAATGGATCTAGGTACTCCAACTTGGTCAATACGTAGATTGGGATCTGCAGTGATAACAGTTCTGGCAGAAAAATCTACACGTTTTCCCATGAGGTTACCACGAATCCTCCCTTCCTTGCCCTTAAGGCGAGCTTTGATAGCTTTTAGTGGTCTTCCAGATTTCTGTAAGGCTCTAGGCATTCCAGGCATATCATTATCTGTTAAAGTAGCCACATGAAACTGAAGCATCTTCAAATTTTCCACTATGATGTGAGCAGCTGCTCCAGCTTGTTCATTGCGCACAAGTTCATTGTTGGCCTTTATAATATCGGCCAATTTGTGAGTCAAGTCATCTTGATTACGAGCTGAACCATGCATGACTACAGCTGGCCGTACTGGCAAAGGTGGCACAGGTAATACTGTCATGATCATCCAGTCAGGTCGGGCATATTTGGGATCCATTCCTAGTAAGTAGCATTCCTCATCTAATGAAAGAATGGCACAAGTTAACAATATGAGATACTAAGTGATTTAAATACTATTTAAATATATTTTCATTTTTTTTAAATAAATAACTATACATAGGTAAAAACATAAGTTTTATATAATTATACAATTATAGATCTAAATACTGTCCATAAATACAGCATATACAGTATAGCTCAAATTATAAATATAACGTTTTTATTTCAACAAAATGCACACTAACACTGAAGTTTATATGAATACCACATTAAATAGCATATCAACACCTGCAGCACTTTCTGTACAGTGCCGAGATAAACACACAGGCTTTACTAGTAAGGATTTTTTTTAAATTCTGTGACAATGGTAGTTTTGTCTTACTGTATTTGGTTACTGTTAGAATGCAACACACACAAACACACACACACACCTTGCTAATATTTATGTATAGTTTAGGAATTAGAAAATAATGTCATTGAAGCAACTGTTTCTGCAAATTTTGTTTCAACTAAATATCTAGAGCAGACCAAAAACATTGGTCTATGATATGTGATGTGAAACCAACATTTTAGTCATTCATGCCAAAAACATTAAAAAACAACAACACACCATTAACTAGGAGTAGAAATATTTTAAGGAAAATAAAATCTGTTAAGGGCCATTAGAAATTACCAAGCAATGAAAAAACATGGCAACAACTCGGCTACTGATAGCAATAGGGTGCATGCTCACCCAAGAGAGAGATGAAATTTTCAGACGCTAGGAAAACTGCCAATTATCTAGGGCAAAACCTAAGGGGTGGAATTCAATTACCACATAGTTACACATATCCCAACTTACAACTAAATAACCACTGCACTCTATAATATATAGTATCAAATTAATACTTTATGATACTTGGTGGCATAAGTACATAATATTTCAATTGCTAATTCCTGCACAAAATACTGTAGCAAAAAATAATTTGAGGAAATATTCCAGTACAGTAATGTACACAGGAATATTTTCAGTACATTACTGTACTGAAAATATTCCAGTAATGGACACAGGTAGCAGGGAACTATCAACAATTAAATCTGGTCAATACTGTGTACTTTACAAGATCGTAAATGCAAAATATCCATTTCCATCAGTTTATATTAATGTCATGACGAGCGAACACCTACCATACATGCCGAGTTTCTCTCACGAAGGATATGCTCCCCGAAAATCTAACCCCAACACCAAACAGTACGTTGAATTTTTTCTGAAGTCTCAGATGCATTCTAGATTTTCCTAGGTTCACTGCTCCTCTATCCCAAACTATTTCCTTTACTTATGGTACCTAGCATAATCTTGGCTGCTTACCAAGAATATATTTTCCTTCAAGTTTTGAATACCCATTTGACTAGCAAATTTAAATCCATGAAAACTTGAAAAGTTCAAAGTTGAAAAAAGAAATCTCACTAATGTCTCGACACCAATGCATATATCATGTGTACTTTATGCAAGCCACATTTTCATTAAAATTAAAGGTTTCGTGGAAATAAAATTTAAATAAAAAAAAAACATTAATACCCTAAATAAATAAAATTAATTTAATAATATTAACCCACCTGTTATATGCTTGAATATCTCATATACACGCTCAGCAGTGAGGATCTGCTTTCGGTCTTGGGTATCTTCATTTACATGCTTCCACTCTGCTACAAGTTCCAAACCAACTCGTTTAATGTTTGGTTGATATCGACCACAACCACCATGGCCTGATCCTTTCTTTGCCATGGTGGGATCATCTGGATCCTTGTTAACATCAATTTCATCACCTTCACAAATCATTTTTCCTTTACACAAATTGTACACATGCTGAAGTCGCTTTCGGGGCTGCCCTTTGGACTTTGTCACAATCTCACGTATTTTGGGATATTGCTGAAATTAAAAAGCACATTAATGAAAGGAAAACAAAAGAGTGGGAAGTAAACTCCCAAAAATGTATTAACAAAATGGTAAAAATAGCTTTGAATCCGAGGTCTACACGTGCCCAGCACCTAAAAGCAGGGATAAGCTTATATGGCAGAGTGGAAAGTGAAAGTAATAAATCAAGAACAGATGTACAGAATGTAGTTTGTTAGTGTAAAAAATTAAAGGATGTTCAACATCCTAGGTTTATGTGAGACTAAGTTATGAGGAATGTTTTAGGAAACTCTAACGACCGGGCCGCGGGGACGCTAAGCCCCGGAAGCACCTCACGGTATGGTCAGATCATTTTGCAGTGCTGTGCAAAACTGGGAAAGTTTTGCACAGCAAAACTACAGACACTACACTTTCAATCAATGAAAGTGTAGTGTCTAAAATGTAAGGAAGTTTGAGATAGTGGAAGAAGGTAAAAAATAAAGATTAGGCTAACATTTTGATGAAGTAATGATAAACTGCAAAAAACAAAATGCATATAATAATACTTATAATGCATTATGGATGAGAGAGTGCCATAACCTAGGGTGCTGGACGAGCATACTGGGTAAGTTCGCCAGGCATTAAAATATTGTAAACCAGCCAAATTATAACTAAGTAACTACAGTAAACTGAGTTAATAAAATATTGAAAACAAGCAGAGTTATTACAAACTTATCAAGAAAAATTGCTTATGATATATTGCTTAGATATACATTAGAAGGAAATTCACATTATCTCGCCACCTTACCCAGCATACATAACCCACACCTGATATGCTTATGGCATACATTATTTAATGACTGTTACCTTTAACATTTATTCATTATCTAAATGAAAAATGCTCCTAGAAATTTTAAAGGAATGTTAAACTTTTGTCAGCCTGTCAGCCATTAACAAGAGTGAATGACAAAACCAGAGCGCCTTGATTGTCTGATGCGGCAAAACAAAACATCACATCCAGAAATACAGGTTTCAAATCCTGTATAGCAATTCACTTGGCCAAAATATAAACAACTATACAGCTGATCTTAGAGGTGGTAAGAGTTGGGGTACAAATTCCACTTTACAATATATTTCAATAAATGTACAGTATGATGAAACATACTAAAATAGTTTTTTCCCACAAAATTTCCTTGTAAAATAGGGGTGCGTTCTATATGAGAGTGCGAGTTTTATGGTCCTGGGATACAGTATCTAGAAAGTATGCAATCATCTGTATACACAAGTGGAGTTGTAAGGGAAGTGTAAACCTAATGTCTTGTACAACACTTGACATTAACAGGGACATAACATTCTCAGACCACAAACTGATTGAGGTTTATCATTTGAAAATCTGGTAATTTTATGAGAAATGCCCAGTTCATTCAGAATACTTACCGCATTGAAGAGAAGTTTGCTGCAATAGAAGCACACACATCTTAAAATCTTCATCGTTTTTGTTAAAAAACCAACATGAAAAACAGGCTTGGCAAGCTCCAAGTGACCAAAATGTCCAGGGCAGTCCGTCATGTTGCCGGCACATGTAGTGCAGCGGGTGTTCCTATCCAAACAGCCCTGTCGTGGATCCATGAGCCCTCCAAGCTTGGGCCTTCCATTCTCATAAACTTCAGCGTGTCAGACATGGCAGTCACTTTCTGACTGGAAGAGTGTTACCAGCAGAGTTGGGCCTTCCATTCTCATAAACTTCAGCGTACTTTATTCCACCTTCTGTTGCCGACATGTATATATAGTGTAATAAGTGTAATAACGTGTGTATATAGTGTAATAACACAAACAGTATGGTGGGAGGAATGTTGGCGTATGAGGTGTTGGTGACGGAGGGAGGTGGCGTCCGCTGGCTGGTGTGTCTTGTCATGCATTGTATGATGGCCACTATACTGTTTGGATATAAACTGGAAAAGGTGCAGGCATGCTACAAAATGGCTTCCGGAACTGAAAACAGTTATGAGAGACTAGAGGTGTTAAACATGCCAAAACTAGAAGATGGAAAGAAAGAGGGGTGATAGATCACTTACAAAATACTATCAGGATTCTAACAAACTGACAAAGAGGAGTTCCTGAAATCAGCAACTTCAAGATAAATATAGTGTAAATATAGGTGCCAATTTTTTTTTTAAAGTTTTCTTTTGGAAACAGAGTGGTAAGTTAAGTGAGGAGGTGGAGGCCAAAACAGTCAGTTTCAAAGCATTATACGATGAAGAGTACTGGGAAGACAGGACACAAGTGTAGCTCATCCTATAACTACACTCAGGTAAAGTTTCCTATTGCAGTCCTATTACAGTGCAATAAGAAAGTTTAATTAATTTAACATTATCGGTCTCTTTGGACCTGATGTTCATCCTTTTTTTTTCTCCAGAGTCCTAGCCGAGGACAGGACTTGCGTCCATTACAAAAATATTTGTATAAAATTCATTTTTTGCATATTTAGTGACCAGGATTGACAATAGCAGGACCATTTGGTCCGGGAGAATCTGTCATGTAGGGTTCAGTGCCTCTACAGATCTCCAGTATCATCTCTTGATGCTGGTAATGGCTCAAAAGGGCCACTACTTACGGGCTATTCATGCCCATAAGTGGGGCATGATTCATGCCACCTCTTGGGTGGCTTAATCTTTATCAATCATCGACAAAAGCATCATTGTGGTGAGAATTAGTGACGTGCAAAGAATGGAGGGCGATGGTATTAACTGATTATGTGGCGGCCACTGTTATTGTCTGGACTCGTCATACCAGCTTAGTTGCAATATACTTCACTTAATATAGAACGTGTGCCTATCTATACTAATACCCAAACAACAGCCAAGTGCTTTGCGCATAGTGCAACAACATTTTTTGCAACGCGCAAATTTTTAATTTGGTATTGGTAAAATTGTAGGAGAGAGATCGGTGTACCAACTACCGTGGCTGTGAAGGTCTGGCTCCTGTGTGGTGGCGCTCCTCCAGTCCCGCCACTACACACACACCATAATCCTATAGTTCTATCACCAAGACCATAATTCATTGCTCGTAACCACCTTTATTTATGCTGATAGAATTTATACAACTGGAGCAGCGTTAGTAGCATGAAAACTCAAGGTCCGTGCACCCAAGGTGGTGGCGGGTCCCAGCGTCCATGTTAGACCGATCCCCTTGGCTAATATTGTAGTTCCCTTCATGCGAACCTTTCCAGGAGCGGCCACGATACATCACCAAGTCAAGAAATGTAACTAATGTGAGAGATTGCGCAACAATCTCTCAACTACTTACCCTAACTCGCCTCCGTCGACCTCCTCCTCCTCCTTGCTGGGAGACGACTGACAAGTGAGCTGCCGTGCGTGAACCCGACCCTTATCTTGAGGTTATCTTGAGATGATTTCGGGGCTTTTTTAGTGTCCCCGCGGCCCGGTCCTCGACCAGGCCTCCACCCCCAGGAAGCAGCCCGTGACAGCTGACTAACTCCCAGGTACCTATTTACTGTTAGGTAACAGGGGCATTCAGGGTGAAAGAAACTTTGCCCATTTGTTTCTGCCTCGTGCGGGAATCGAACCCACGCCACAGAATTACGAGTCCTGCGCGCTATCCACCAGGCTACGAGGCCCCCAATCCTTACTCACTGTTATCCTGTCTTCTTCTATTTTGTAATGTTGCAATTGTTTACAGTAAAATATTTGTTCGTTCAAGTGAATTTAAAGCTTTTATATATTTTGTTGACCAAACCACACTACAAAATGAAGCGACCACGACGTCTCTATGGTCTATCCTAGACCATTCTCACGTCGATTGTGATGAGGCAAGGAGGCGAAGGCAATAAATAGACAAGAGAGAGGTGAGGAGAAGGAAATCTTAGAGGAATTATTATATTATTATTAAACGTAAATTCTCAGAGAAGCAAACGTTGCTCGGTGAAGCGTATGGCATGGGTCAACTCTGATGTTACGTATCTGAGAATATGTATATATACTATAGGGAGCATTTCCTGTGTTACCTCATCTCTCATTACCAGGACCTAGATTCACGAAGCTCCATGTATTTATTCGAAAGTAGGTTTGCTACGAAGGTTCCTAAGTATGCCCTAAGAAGATACTTAGGTGCAATTCAAGTAGGTCCACTTAGGAAGATATTTTCCTGCCCGAAACGCTTTGCGTAATAGTGGCTTTAGGCATTGTATGTACTAGCTCTATCTATTAATCCTACAAACTTTGTAAAACGTCTTTATGTATGTACCTTACCTAAATAAACATTTATTTATTTATTTATTTATTTGTTGGTTCACCTGCGTGGCGATAGAGGTCACTACTGTGTTTCGTTTGGCCAATCAGAGAGCAGGCAACATTACATAAGAACATAAGAACAAAGGCAACTGCAGAAGGCCCATTGGCCCATACGAGGCAGCTCTTATCTAAAACCACCCAATCATATACACTCATATACAAACCGATCATATACATGTCCAACCCGCGCTTGAAACAATCGAGGGACCCCACCTCCACCACGTTACACGGTAATTGGTTCCACAAATCAACAACCCTGTTACCGAACCAGTTACCGAAAGACCCAAGTCTTTCCTAAATCTAAATTTATCTAATTTATACCCATTGTTTCGTGTTCTGTCTTGTGTTGATACTTTTAATACCCTATTAATATCCTCTTTGTTGTGTCCATTCATCCACTTGTAAACCTCTATCATGTCACCCCTAACTCTTCGCCTTTCCAGTGAATGCAATTTAAGCTTTGTTAATCTTTCTTCATATGAAAGATTTCTAATTTGGGGAATTAACTTAGTCATCCTACTCTGGACACGTTCAAGTGAATTTATATCCATTCTATAGTACGGACCAAAAGTAAACTGCATAATCTAAATGGGGCCTAACCAGAGCAAGATATAGCTGCAGAACCACACCAAGTGTCTTGTTACTAACGCTTTGATTAATAAATAACAGTGTCCTATTTGCCTTATTATGAACATTCATGCATTGATCCTTCTGTTTTAAATTCTTACTAATACTAGGCAGCTCCTATTTATAACCACCCAATCCCACTCATATACTTGTCCAACCCGCGCTTGAAACAATCGAGGGACCCCACCTCAAGCACGTTACGTGGTAATTGGTTCCACAAATCAACAACCCTGTTACTGAACCAGTATTTACCCAAGTCTTTCCTAAATCTAAACTTATCCAATTTATACCCATTGTTTCGTGTTCTGTCTTGTGTTGATACTTTTAATACCCTATTAATATCCCCTTTGTTATGTCCACTCACCCACTTGTAAACCTCTATCATGTCACCCCTAACTCTTCGCCTTTCCAGTGAATGCAACTTAAGCTTTGTTAATCTTTCTTCATATGAAAGATTTCTAATTTGGGGAATTAACTTAGTCATCCTACGCTGGACACGTTCAAGTGAATTTATATCCATTCTATAATATGGCGACCAAAACTGAACTGCATGCTTGTTCTTATGTTCTGTTCTGCAAAACAGAACATAAGAACAAAGGTAACTGCAGAAGGCCTATTGGCCCATACGAGGCAGCTCCTATCTATAACCACCCAAACACCATCTAGTTCGTATTTTGTAACTCTACCATCATTACCTAGCTTCAGAACTTTACATTTATCAGCATTAAACTGCATCTTGAAAAACATAAATTAATAATTGAGTCGCAACATGGTTTTATAAATGGCCGTTCATGTTTAACAAATTTGTTATCTTTTTATTCTAGCATAGTTGAGGCAGTTGATAGTGGTAAGGATTGTGATGTTGTGTACCTTGACTTTAGCAAAGCTTTTGATACAGTGCCACATGAAAGACTGTTTAAAAAGATAGAGTCTCATGGTATTGGGGGTGCTATATTAAGCTGGATTAGGGCATGGCTATACCAAAGGAAACAGAGAGGTAGTATAAATGGAATCAAGTCAGAGTGGGAAAATGTTGTAAGTGGAGTGCCTCATGGCTCTGTCCTGGGACTTCTGTTGTTTATAATATATATAAATGATTTAGATTTAGGTTTGAGTAAAAAAAAAAAAAAAGGTTTGAGTAGCAACATTTGCAAATTTGCCGATGATACGAAAATCGGTAGGGAAATTAATTCGGAGGAGGATTCACTATCACTTCAAGATGATCTAGATAGGGTTTTGAAATGGTCAAAGGATTGGCAGATGCAGTTTAACGCTGAAAAATGTAAAGTTCTGAGGTTAAGTAATGATGATAGAGTTACAAGATACGAGCTAGATGGTGTTGAGATTGCGAAAGGGATCTGGGAGTTATGATTAGTAAGAATTTAAAACAAAAGGAACAATGCATAAATGTTCGTAATAAGGCAAATCGGACACTTGGATTTATTAATCGCAGCGTTAGTACCAAGACACCTGGTAGGGTTCTCAAGCTATATATTGCTCTAGTTAGGCCCCATTTAGATTATGCAGTTCAGTTTTGGTCGCCATATTATAGAATGGATATAAATTCACTTGAACGTGTCCAGCGTAGGATGACTAAGTTAATTCCCCAAATTAGAAATATTTCATATGAAGAAAGATTAACAAAGCTTAAGTTGCATTCACTGGAAAGGCGAAGAGTTAGGGGTGACATGATAGAGGTTTACAAGTGGGTGAATGGGCATAACAAAGGGGATAATA